CTTTTTGGCTGCCTGCTATGTGACTTTATGATAGCGCCAACTAGTTTTTACTTCTAGAAATGTTCCTGGCGAACATTGAACGTTCACTTTCCTTTTTTCTTCTATGGGGGCAACATGAATTTCAGTTTATTTACAAATAAAACATAAACAAAGTCAGCTGGTGTGTCTTCTTCTTCCGGTTTTTGCAAGTAATGACTAATTTCCTGTTCGTTTACTTTTTTGCTTTTTCATCTCTTTGGGAGAGAATTTTCGCTTACTCTCTTGATTTTGATTGTTGGCTGGTGTTGGCTAATTTTGTTATCGAACGCAACTAATTCCTTTGACCATTAACAGGCTAACCTAATATTCGCGGCTTGCGTTTTGGTACGCACGCCGTCGAATTTGTTTTTTTGCGTCACCCGAAATTGGCTTGCGTGCGTTTGCATTTGATTTCATTGAGCGAAACGTCAAATCAAAATGTCACGCAGAACAAAAATTGGAAATTGAGTTAGCTTCAAACGCACGCCGTTCAATTTCATTTGGTCCCATACAAGTTGTATGTGCATGAGAAATTTTTGACAGTAAATTGGCGGCGTGCGTGAATATTAGGTTAGCCTGTAAGTTCGGATTTTAGATAGGGGGCAACTTTAAAAAAAAATTGCTCAGTAAAGCTTTCCCAAACACTTTTCGTTTGGTACCAATCTTGTAATATTTCATTTAATTTCAATATTTTTAAGTTTTCACTCTTTAGATAGGTGAAAATGGGAATTTCGGAAAAAATTTTATTAAATTAAAATAGTATTTATCCTTCAATAAATAAAAACAGAATGAATAGAAAATAAATTCAAAATGACGTTTTCTTTTCAACCGACAAACCTCATTGCCCGCTTCGCTCAAGCAGCAAAAAGAGGGCAATGAAAAGTCAAAATTTTTTATAGAAAAGAAAACATCTTTGAATATGGGCATATGTATGTATATTCACATATGTTCATGCGTAAGAGTCAACATCAGACTGAAANGAAAATAAATTCAAAATGACGTTTTCTTTTCAACCGACAAACCTCATTGCCCGCTTCGCTCAAGCAGCAAAAAGAGGGCAATGAAAAGTCAAAATTTTTTATAGAAAAGAAAACATCTTTGAATATGGGCATATGTATGTATATTCACATATGTTCATGCGTAAGAGTCAACATCAGACTGAAAAAAAAACAAAATTTACCTCTTTTTGGAAAATTCAACAAATTTTCATCAATATTTCAACTTTTTAATCTGAATTCTTTTTCGGTTTTGCATTTATAGCCCATACAATTTTTGTCAGATGAAGTGCAAGTTTCAAACCAAGGTACATAAATACAGGTAGAAGCCAAAATGACACTGCTCTCATGAGAACCAAACCTTTAAACTTCAACTTAGTTTTCTTTTATTTCCTATATTTCGTTACGCTTTAAATGTCATGTCGTTTTTTTTTGGGAATGTTCGTTAAAAACAAATTTTAATTAATATTTGAATTTTTGTAGTGTTGTGCGGTTTATACTTAGTGTATGTGTTACAAATGCAACACCTGAAGCGTGGTTTTTATGTGGTATTGAATATAAATCAGATACCACTAATTTTTTTAACGTGCCTCAATGTCCTTTGCGTAAGGAGCGTTGCGAAAGCAGCTGTGGGGCAGAGCGGCAGCGAAAAGCCTTGCTGTGCGTTAAACATTTTAAAGCAGCAGATTTTATAAATGCACCGGGAGGTACAGGATAGGCACGTTTGATGCCAAGTGCTGTTACTATGACTCTTATGCCGGAAAGTTCCTCCAACAATACTGCAACTCATAAATCAAAGACAGAAAACAACAAACAAATTAACAAGTTTTAACTATAGAAAATAAATAAATAAAATTAAACTTCAAATTTACTTAAAAACGTCAACCAGTGAAATGTAATTTTTTATTTTTCCTTACACACACTCATTTTTATTTTTACTCTCCCGAAAACTTTGACTTTTGTAGGTTTGACGTCAAATTGGCTTCTACCTGTTTTTATTGTACCATGGTTTCAAACGGCTAAAAAATTCCGTTAATTTTTGAGTTTTCTTTTTGGTGACGGCTTTTTGCACTTTTTTCCATATAAGCATGAACTTCTTATAAAAAACGCGGGAGATCGTTAGCAACAAAATTTCACAAAATCAACGCCAGTTTTTGTAAATTGCACTTGTTATATAAAAAAAAAACGCCAAAGTAGTCTCCAAAACAAGTCTCGAAAATCAACGCGATTAGACTAAAATTGTATGGGCTATAAAAATAAAGATTCAGATTAAAAGTTGAGATTTTGACGAAAATTTGTTGAATTTTTCTAAATTTTGTATAAAGTGTGAAACTGTGATTGATATGGTTTTGGTTTTTAAAGAAAAATAGCAACAAAAAACATTTATTTTGAAAAATATTTCAAATATTTAAAAAAACCAACACGTGGTCATTTTGCTTTAGCCACTGTATATATAGATTTTTTCGTTTAAAAATAAAACTGAATTTAGTTTTGGTTTAAAATCTTTATGAACGCCTTTGCATAGCTTTTCGAATCGCTTAAAATGTGTTTTAAATATATGTATTTGTTGTAATATTTAGATATACGTTATGACGAGAACATAAGTATGAACATAGGTAAATACTATAATTTTTTTTTGAAATTTAGATATATAATTATTTATTTATTTATTTATTTATAACAATTTATATAACAAAAGAATTTTATTATATAAATACATAAACGCAGCACTGGCAACGAGGCCTTCAGCCGAGATATATAATTAAGGGCCAATTTCACAGTGCGTAGTTAACTCCGAATCGACAGTTAACTAGAGATTTTCAGTACAAAAATCTGTAGTTAACTCCCGATTCCGAGTTAACTACGCATTGTGAAATTGGCCCTAAATAACGCGAATGTAGATAAATGAGCATTGCCAATAAATGCATTATTTAATAATCCACAGCCAACCAATGAACTTACCGATAGCGTACTTGTTACCTCAACGTATCACTACGGCAACCGTAGCAACCAATTTGTTAAATTTCATTTGGAACTTTAGAATTTTTTCACAGTCGAAAATTCGTTTTTGGAAATCAAAGAAAAGGAATTTACGTTTATATTAACGGGCCATAACGATAACGCATCTTCTTCCAAAACTAAGCCTACCAAATATATTGTACTATGATAAATTGTGTATCGCGGGGCAATGAACCTTCGATCGAATTGGCGAAAATCGGGAACAAGAAACCTATAGTGCTCTCGTCGCAACGCTACAATAGGCTACTAAAAAATTCCAATCAGGTGGATGAACTGCGAGCTCAGAAAGAAATTGAAGAGGAACAAAAGTATAAGGAATACTTGAAGCAGGGCTCCGACCAGTTGGTAGCTCATTTCAAGGGCAATATACAGCGAACTCAAGATGAGAAGTTGGCCGAGATCAAAGCGAATATGGAGCAGAAAATAACAAAAAGTGAGACCTCATCGACAATAATTTCGATATGATTTTCAAAAATGTGTAGTTATATTTTGAAATCTTTTACGAAAAAAGTATTGATATTTTTTATAAAGCGAGTTTCTAACCCATTTCCTTTGAATTTTGTTCTTACATTTTTAGTGCAGGAGGACTTCCATCAGACAAAAGAAAATGAGGAACGAAAAAGGAGCGAAAAGCTGGCTAAAGCGCAAAACCTAGTCGAGCAACTGAAGCCTGGTCCCAAGCAATTGCACTCAGCAGCTTTACAAAGCGAGGTCCTTCGAGCGCGAAACGTTCAACGGAACATAAATAAGGAGTTCGAAAGAGCTGTTAAAAAGCAAGAATGTATGGATAAGTTAGCTTGCGAGCAACAAGCGTTAGGATTTATGCAAGAAGACCAGGCGCGGCAAATGGAACGCCAACAGAACATGAACACATACAAAAAGGAAATGCTTCACACAATCAAAGAGACTGGCAAGCAGCGCATGGAATATAAAAAGCAGCTCATCAAGGAGCAACAGGACGCGCGGGAGGCAATGGATCAGGAAATCAAGGCGCAAATCGAAAAGGAGAAGGCAATTATGGAGAAAAAACGAGCGGCACTACGCAAAAACGCACTGGAAGCCATGAAAATGGTAGAGCAACGTAGATTAAGTAAGTTTAGAATAAGCTGTATTCATTTATGACTCGTTTTTATCACGTTATTTGTTCTTTAATCCAATTTTAGGGGAACGTATGACCGAAGAGATCGAAGATCGTTTGTGTTGCGTTTACAATCTGGCTAAAAAGGACTGGGATGTCGTAAAAAAAGAGGAAGACCAAAAGAAAACTACGCACGAAGAGAAGAAGCAAGAGATGCAAGCCAGATTCTTGCGTTGCATTCAGACTAAGACAGAAGCAACAGACGAAGAGCGTGTACGTCGTGATATTAGTCGCATGCAACTGAAGTTCACGGCTGAAGAGAAGGAAAAGATACGCAAGGACAAGGCGGCCAAACAAGCACGTATTGAAGCTTATATGCACGAGCTTCAACAGCAAAAGGAGGCGAAAAGGCGCGCCGAGGAAGAGAGGCGTTACGATGTGGCAACACGCTTTAAAAACTGCGAAGTAAATCGGCTTTTTAAAGAAGCGCAGAAGAAAAAGCGTCTAAATGAAATACACGATACACGAGCCACATTAAAGGAACAAATTGAGCTTAAGAAACGTATTGAAAATGAGGACAGACAACAAATGCGCACCTGCGAAGATAACAAAGACGAGCGGGAGGATAAATTCTTTTTCGAATATGCGCGCAATCTGATGGAGGATGCACACAAGAAAGATCGGCCACTCTATCCTTTCGTTAAAGTGGTTCAAGAGTATAAGCGCGATCGTTTCATCGACTGTGAACGCAAAACGCCAAAGCACCTGATGACTCATATTAACATTGGCACTGGCCAAGGAGATGTTAAGGGTGACGGTGTATATTCCTCTATTACTTCTTTGCAAAAACCTAAATCGGTGCATTCGAAGGCAATCAGCCCAACACAGGCGCTAGATGTGAGCAAATCTGTCTCAACCGGCGAAGAAAAGTTTTCGTCAAAGACTGAGAAAAACAACAAGGAAAGTATATTGGAAAACTGTCTTAAGATATCTGAATTGATTGCAGCCGATGCGAAGAAGGCCGCCAACACCAAAGAAAACTTTGACAGTCGGTTCACAGATTGCTTGATGCCATGTACGCATATAGCCGAACTCAAAAAGGAGGACGACTGTGAAAAGTTGCTTAAACCCGGCAAAGTGCGCTATACAATGTTTGAATTGAAGAAAATGAACCATTTCCCTTTGCCCAAGGGGCAATAGACGCATAGAAAGCTGTAATATAATTGGTGTTCTACGATCTGCGCCGGCCTTAATTTTCTGAAACTTCTTTCAGTACAATTCAATTATATTCTGTTGTTCGCATGTATTTTCTATTTCCAATAAATTATTTCTTGTAAATAATACTTTATTAGTAAATCGAGTCTTTATTTGGCAAGAAGCTTGGCTCCTCGAATGTATGACAAATTGCATTTGATATGTATGTATGTGATGGTTTAAATGAGTATTTTTGCTTTGCAAATACGTGAGTACGTTGACTTCATGAATTATGTACGAAAAGTTGGTGTCCTACAATAAGAAAAAATTATGCAGATAAAAGAAAAATGTTGATTATAAATGTGCATTTACTGCCTTTACCTTTTCATACTCAAAGTGAGCATTTTAGTTTTAATTCGTTTGCGGTCGCGACTAATAATTTCCATCCGTTCCTTGACCGTTGTTTGAAATAGTATTAAGTGTAGTGTATGCATTGTTGAAGTCAACTGAAGAAAAAAACAAGAATAGTTTTTAAACAGTAAGGCCTTAGTTTTTAATTTATTCTAAAATAAACAAGTAATTGTTAAGCAAAAAACAAAACAGACTTCAATTCGCATATAAAAATTTAAGATTGTCGTTAATTTCTTCATGATCCAATGATCGGATATAAACCAAATTAGTATGGAACCACCTGTGAGGTAAACCTTTAATTTATTCTAAAATAAGCAATTTTGAATCAAAAAACAAAACAACTTCAATTCGTTAGTTTCTTCATGACTCAATCTAAACCACAAAAGTATGGGACCACCTCTGAGATACCACCTTTCCTTTAAAAAAATAATTATAGAAATCGGTGAACGTGGTCCAAAGTTATGCGGTAACATACTTACATAAAAAACATTTATTCCGACGAATTGATAACCTTCTTTTTTCAATACGGTTAAAAATAATTTCTTTGTCAGAACACAAAGTATAAACTAGGGGTGGGGATATAAATGAAGTTATTTATATGGCTACCTTTCTAAGGGCCAGCTTTTCAGTGCCAGTTTAAACTTAGATTAAGTAAACTGAGTTTAAATTGAACAGCTGGCTGAAATTTGATTGGCTGATCTTAGTTTAAACCAGCCAGATCGGGCGTTTAAACTTAGTTTAAACCACGGCCGTGCACTGAAAAACTGGCCCTAAATGCATCAATGCAAAGCATCAACCTCTTTTATTTTTAAACTATAATTGGTGGAAATGCCCAATTTGTGCACTAAGTTCCAATTTGGCATTTGAACGTGGTTGCCCATATTCTGCATTGATGGATTTAGGAAGTCAGCCTATGTTATACACTCCTCGTCATTTACCGCACCATTTTGATCCTCAGTATATACAGTTTTCCTTTTGTTTGTTTAATATTCTTAAATTTTTTATAAAAATGTAGCATATTCTACGTGTGAATTCGATTATAAAATTGTATACAAATAAAAAAAGCGCTATCCTAATGCCTTCTGTGAATAAATTAATATTTTTTAGAAAAATATCGGATATGCAGTTTTGAAGCCCATTCAGTTTTAGCCAGATACAGAAAATAATCGTTATCATGAAGGATTTTTATTTAAAGATCATTGCATAATCGTATTTTTCGATTTATATAATTACGAGAATTTTTAATCGTTATTTTATAATCTTTATTTTTTCGATCAAAAATAATCGTATTTTTTGATTTTTATTTTTTCAATCATTTTTAATCTTATTTTTATGATTTTTATTTTTTCGATCAAAAATAGTCGTTTTCTTTGATTTTAATTTTTTCGATCATTTTTAATCCTTATTTTATGGTTTATATTTTTTCGATCATACTTTCAGGGTTAATCTTGTCTGATCCTAAAAAACCAAAAAAACTTGTAGTGTTGCGCATTAAAGCAACAAACGTAGACCTAAGATAACCTCAAGAACCACAAAAAAAAACTTCCGTAGGAAAATTAAAACAAAAATTCGTTTATTCATTGCAGGTGATTGCATTATTGATACCAGTGATGGGTAAAATTTTATTTACTAAAAATTAAGTGCTAAGTATTTAGGTATTTATGTTGTAGTAAATATATACCAAGGTATCTAATATTTACTTAAGTATTTTGGATGTTACTAAATACCGAATAGGCTAGTAAATATTTACTTATTTTCACAGCGCTAAATACTTACACCCAAATTCATAAAAAATAAAGAAGACTTTAACTGCTTTATAAATCGATAATTTGTATGAAAATTTCACTTTATAGAGTTCTATAAACCTATATTATTTTTTATGAATAAGACCATTAGTCTAAAGGTATTTAGTTAGTTTCACCTAATGCAACACCGCGTACAAAAGTACATTGAGACTTTGGCTTCACTAACTAGCGTGTACAAAAATATTTCGGTATTTTCGGGGCGAATTCGGCATTTTTGAGACAATTTCAGGATTTTCGATATTTTAAGGACTATTTCGGGATTTTCGAGACTACTTCGGGGTTTCTAGATATTTTTAGCATTCTAGGGACTATTTAGGTTTCTTCGAGACCCAATATATCGATAAAGGTGTATATCTATAAAAATATCGATCATTAATATCGATTAATATATCAATAACAATATTGATAAATATATCAATAAAAATATCGATAAATTTTTCGATAAAAATATCGATTATTATATCGACAAATATATCGATAACAATATCGATTATTATATCCATAACAAAATTAATAATCATATCGATAAATATAACGATTGTAAAATCATTAAATTTATCGATATAAAGACCGACAAAAATAACGAAAATTTCGAAATAGTCCCGAAAATTATGAAATAGTCCCGGGAATCCCGAAGTAGTCTCGAAAATCTCGAAATAGTCCAGATTCAATTTTTCCTAAATCATAAACATATAATTAGTTTGTAAGTATTTAGCCACGTAATAAATACCTTAGTACTTTAATGAAAGTATTTTGCATCTCCAAAGTACCCGAGTACTTTCGACTAGAGTATTTAGCGCATTTACTTTAGCATCTAATTGCTCCTAAACTGCAAAGTATTTTTTACTTTAGTATTTACCAGAGAGCTGCATGGATACACTCAAAATACATTTTAAGTCACTCGCTTTCGTTTCACATCTGCACATACTCGCACTCATTCATTTTCAAACATAACGTGCGATAGCATTTTTCCTGTAAAAACGTCAACCAGTGATTGCTTGGCACTTTTCATGATTTTACCAGAAGAAAAAGTTCGGGTAAAATCTTGCAACTTCATTCTCTACACAACTCTCCAAAAGTCGCTCTCATTTACAGGATTTTGGAGTACGGGAACATTTTTCCTGCAACTTCCTGCAAGTTCGTATAAAATCCTGTAAGTCCATGGAGTACTGGATCAGCTATTGTCAATTGAGTGAGTAATTCACACTATCAAGTGCTCGATTCAAATAACAAGTGCTTGATTGGAAAAACCAATATTTGTTAATTTTATTGGTTTTCTAACTGCATATTATAATGCAAAAATATCAACTGATTAAGGGCATCATCTTTTGACAAAAGGTGGTATCTTTCTGACGATGCGCTAGTTCAAGGAGTGGCTATTACTCTACGACTGAGTTTATGCAGCAGCGGCATTTCGCATTTGTGTACCTCCAACCAATTAATTACATCGAAGTCCGTATGAAAATATACCTCAATATTTTCATATCGCCGCAGCTCTGTAATAGCTTTATCAGTTCTGCTCACAAAGGTAGGTTGTTTAAGAAGACCTGAAAACAGCTCAAAGTTGTCTGAAGGTAACAAAGGTGTTTCCGCAATTTGTGGTTCCGTTGTACTGTCAGAATTCTCAGTTAACGTTCTCATAATTTGTAAACATTTCTCTTTCGTGTACCGTTGCTCAGATTCGGTAAAGTTCTTGAGCTCTTTTGCTGGCGGGTATAAAAAAAGCGCAATTTTGTGCAAATCTGTTAAGTTTTCAACAGCAACTGTTTTTAAATAATAAAGCAACTTATTTTTCAAGTCTCTTATAATGCCGATGTCTTCAGAGGTAACAGTGCATTTCTTTTGTAGACTAGTTATATAAATGTACGTCAGGAGGATAATTAAATAATTTAGTAAAACTAATATATTTAAAAAAATACTTCATCAATATCCATTTTTTTCAAAATTGTCGTATTCTCTACTAATTGTTTGAAGTCAATGAGTGTCATTCGATTGCTCGACTTGCTTTTCATAACAGCGTTTTTCACTCGCCTGACTTGATTTGGAAAGAGCATGATAAAAACATTACAAGGTAAATTCATTCTCTCATTTCGTCGGCCATGATTTTTTTCTGACGTTTGCCAACATTTTAAAATCATAAAAATTGAAAATAAAAAAATTAAATTGTTCACAATTGTTGTTGTTTGAGATTGAAAATGAGAATGTGTGTGTGAGTTTGAGTTTTGATTTTAAAATTATATTGTTGGCAAACGTCAGACTGCCTCTCAATGGTTTTACCTTGTTATGTTTTTATCATGGGAAAGAGTATATCAATGCCATATTTGAAATCAAATGAGTACACTGCACTAAACATTGATTTCGAAACTAACTATGAATCTCACTGTTTGTACGGTGTTTCTCACTACCCGTATACAGTTCACAGCAATGAGTTCATACTATTTAGATGGAAGTGAGTAAACTGATGCTGTTGCCTGGTATTTACCAACTCCTGAATACCAAATTTTTGTTTATTTGAGTAATTAGCAACGCCTAAATAACTAAGTTTTGTTTATTAGAATATTTAGACATCTCCAACTATTAAGTATTTGAGTATTTAGTAGAGTCCGACCGATTAATTAATCAGCATCGGCATCGGCATTGGCTAGTATTATTAGATTATTAGCCGATTCTTTTTACTTTTTATGCAATTTTAACATATGTTCATCAAAATTTTAAACTGTTTAATCAGATTCTTTAGATTTTTTTTGAGAACGCAGTTTTTAACCGACTTCCAAAAAAGGAGAAGGTTATCAGTTTGAAGTAGCTAGGTAATAATAATAATAATATCCCAACGGTTTTTACCCTCCATTCCCGCCCATCCGCATGACGTACGGAACCAGTATTTTAAATNTGTCTTTATTTTAATGATTCATTTATTGAGAGAGGACAGTATCGATTTCTTAATGCTGAAAAGCGGATCTGATATATCAAACGTGCTGGAATGAGAGTTAAAATCCTGGCATAAGCAACGGAGTGGGTCGTGCAATTCAAAATTAGTTTTACAAGCTTTCAGAAATAGGGGGCAAACGTGTCTTGATACCCGGGAGGGAACATTAAGGCTAACTTCGCCAAGAAGAAGCGGACTTGAAATTGTTAGTAATTTAACTATAAAATTGTACCAAGCATTTGCCTGCGGCTGGAAAAGCAAGAACAGAACCGGGCCTAGGTGGCTACCTTGAGGGACTCCTGAAGTAACATCAATGACGTCAGAGATAGTATTTTTAAACATTACCCTTTGTGATCTATCATAG